ATTATTCACATGGAAACCTTATAATTGTCACACGTTTACCACCACAAGTGTGCATACAATTCGGCCAAATATGAACCTTCCTTTGGGTCGGCTAATATCCGCATGAACTAGCATACACACGAAATCCTTCTAATATTCTAAGTTAATTAATTTCCACAAGAAAGGTTGCTTTAGCAACATATTACTTCAATCAATTCACTTTTGAATATTATATATATTCATATGAGTCTTTATACCAAAATTTGAAAAGCAGAATACTTAATTTTATTTATCTTGAAACTTTAAGGGCCTAAGGGTTAATAATTCAGAACTTGAGGGACCAAAAATTAATTATCCGAAACTTTATGGGTCAATAATTAATTTTTGAAAACTTTAGGAGTCAAAAAATTAATTATCCAAAACTTTAAGGACCCAAAAATAATTATTCAAAACTTTAGGAGGTAAAATTTAAAATTTAAAACCTTTGGGGGGCCAATTAGAACAAAATCAGAAACTTTAAGGGCTTTAATTGCAAAATAGAGAACTAAAATGGCCCAAATTAATTAATTTTAAAACTCCAGAGGCTGAATTATAAAATTCAGAACTTAAATGACTAAAATAAATTAATTTCAGAACTTCAGTGGCTGAATTATTAAAATTCATAACCNATAAAATTATCGATCAAAATAATAATCAAATTCTTAATTCTTAAGTATAACCATCCATGTTGAAATCAATGAGAAGGAAAATAGCGGAAGCATAAACATACCCTGATCCATAGATTTCTGATTCTTTGTCTGGATGTGTTAGGATCTTTCAATTGATTGGTGATCTTCACTTCAATTTTGCTCTCTATTGATGGGGATGTAGAGACTCAAGAATACCAACAATTGGGGACCATAACCATATGAAGTAATAGTAGCAACTCAATAGTCACTATTTTTCAGTTGCTTCAAATTGGCCCCTCATCAATTTAAAACAACACTTTGGTCTCTACACTATAATTCCATGAAACCTAATACCCATTAGCCACAATACATCTTTAACGGATCACTTTAATTGACTAATATCTTTTAAACAATAGCATCACACATTTTAATATACAACGTGTGGTCCCAAATATGTTGAAATTATCTAACATACAATGCCAAAGAAGATGTTCATTTTTAATGTACAAATAACTTAATCCTATAGTTTTGTTTTGCTGCCGTTACAGTTTCGTTGTTGAAAAATGGATAGTCACGAATGTACTTTTTGTTCTAAAATAAACTTATTTAAGGGGTGTTTGTTTTTAATTTGAGAATTGATTCTCAATTCTCAAATCAATTCTCATTTTNAGCCTGTTTGGTAACAATTCTCCTTTTCTACAGTAAATCAATTCTCATTTTCAACCACACATTCTTCAATAAAATAATATTTTCCATCACATCAATACTTTTTTCTTCTTTTTCAACCACACATTCCCCATCATATCACTATTCAAAATCAATTCTTCCCCTAAAAATTCATACCAAACAAGCTCTTACTTATAATAATTGGAAGCAAATTTTTTAAATTTAGACGACCATGCTCTCTTCTCCACCGTCGATAAAGCTCACAGTAGACGATTAAGCCCTCGTTATAAGTCATTATTTGAGATTATAATCTTTGAATAGTGTTTTTTTTAATGTGTGGTTAAAAAAGAAAAAAATATTTTAAATTTATGTATAATATTATTTTATTGAAAAATGCGACAACAAGTGATAAAAAAATCGATTAT